GTATTTTGGGATTTTTTCACAAATAGTTCGAGCTATGGAAAATCCAATGTTACCAATCGATAGAGCTCATCGAGTTCTACTGTGGAGCTGTCCGGGGCAGCTGGGGCAGCTACGAGGACGAATATCGGCTGGATTTACTAACCATATGGTAAGATTTGCATAGGAAAAAATTAGTATTTTGGGATTTTTTCACGAATGGTTCGAGCTATGGAAAATCCAACGTTACCAATCGATAGAGCTCATCAAGTTCTATTCTGGCGCTACCTGGGGCAGCTGGGGCAGCTTTGGGGCCGAATATCGGCTGGATTTACTCGAATATGAGGCTAACTTCACCTACGTATTTTTTATAGTCGTGATTTCGTGTGTAATTAACGGAACAGTGGCGAATCAGCAAAATACTTTTTACAAGATAGATTTCCTCGAATAGGAAACTATACTAAGGGCGAAGGATTCAATGAGGGTGTCATGTTCCACTACTGCACACTGCATACATTCTTTTTTCACTAAATGCTATCATGTCCGATCAACACAGACACGTAGTAGAAGAATGCGGGCCGTCGATAAACCTGATCTGCTTAATAGAGAATAGGGATGCATCTAGACCGAGACCAAACTAAGAATTTCGGTCTCAGACGAGTTGCCTTGGTTTTGGTTGGGATCAGTCTCGGTCTTGTTTAACGTCTCAGTCAGAGTCAATATTGATCTTGTTTAATCGCCGTCACAATCTCAGTCAATGATGGTACAAACAAGAGGCAAACAGCCATTGTAGAAGCTTCGGATGAATTAGAGACCAAAAAACATTCGGAAAATCTGTTTACTTGAGAATATTACCGCAAAACAACAGTCTAAATGTATTGTAGGAACTAAGTAGGAACCGGGTATCACTCCAGGAAAAATCCTATCCGTCTATTCTGAGACGGCAACTGAGTTCAAAACAGTAAGGATGGCACTGATAACGCAACTAAGTATAATAGAATCCGAGTCGGAGCAAGAGCCTCTGGCTCGATACTAGACGTGTAATAGTTCAGCTCTAGTTCCTATGTAAGGAACTGTTGAAAAAGTTCTCTGATATGAGCTGATATGTTCGAACAGATCTCATCCGCTCGTAAAAATATTGTTCTGTCTTTTGGGAATTTTATTTCCGGGTAAAAACAAGTAACGTTCATCGTCAAGCGATTCACTTAGCCCTAGACTGATAGAATACATGTACGGATGGAATAGCATAAAAAGCTACATTAAAAAAGTAATACGCAACATTGATAATATGACCAGTATATCTTAGGCGACCAGAAAACTTAATTTGGAGAAGTTTTTTTTCTCACTCTAAGTAAAGATGATGCATTCACAAATTTAATTTTTTTTTATCGTTTTTGTTTTATTTTTTTTTTGCTTTTATGAATATAAATAGCGCCCAATAAGATTAGACAACAATACGATTTTTTTATAATTATATTGGCGCTATTTGTACGTACAAAAATATGAGTTATATTATTCATAAAATTTGAGTTTTATTAATCAATATTTTATGCTTAAATTCACGTATTAATTCTAAACTATTAATAAATTAGATATTCATTGATACAACATTGCACAATCAATCTTACAATAATGAATAATTTAAACGATTTCTTTAAATCCATACTGCTCATTTGGTCTGACTCTCACTAATTAAATGCTTTTGTAAGTAAGCCGTTTTACATCACTACCCGAATTATAGCTATTCCATTGACATTTCACCCATGATTATTATGGGTTCATTTACATCAGTCTTTAGATGGTCATTTGTACCATAGTTACCGGAATAGTTGTTTGTACCATGGTTGCTATATGGTCACTTGTGCCATAGTTATGTGGTCGTTTCTACCAAAAAAATGACCGTTTGTGCCATAGTTACATGCTCATTTGTACCATAGTTACCTAGTTAATTTTAGTAAAAAAATGGCCGTTTGTGCCAAACAAATGGTCACTTGTGCCAAAAAAATGGCCATTTGTGCCACGAAAATGGTCACTTGTGCCCAAAAAATAGCCACTTGTGCCCAAAAAATGGCCATTTGTGCCACAAAAATGGTCACTTGTGCCAAAAAAGTGGTCGTTTGTGCCATAAAAATGGTCTTTTGTGCCAAAAAAATGGCCGTTTGTGCCAAAAAAATGGTCGTTTGTGCCATAAAAATGGTCGTTTGTGCCAAAAAATGGTCACTTGTGCCAAAAAATGGTCACGTGTGCCAAAAAAATGGACATTTTGACCGCGTTACCGACAGACAGACGGACAGACAGACAGACACAGGTGAATTTCGGTTTCTAGACCCTAGCCTTTCAGTCTAGGGAAAATTTTGTTCTGTTTTTTGGACTTTTTACTTCCGAGTAAAAAAATTTGTTCTGTTTTTGGGAATATTACTTCCAGGTAAAAAAATGTGTTCTGTAAAAATATTTTCGAGAGTTCAACTCCTATCAAAAGAGCTGTTTGAACAATTCTTTCGTTTATTTGAGCTGAGTTCATCCGCTGGAGCTGTTACAGATCTAGTCGGTACTACTGCATTTTAGCTACACCATTGATATCGACAGAACGAGAAAAAAAATCAATTGGTTAACGCATAACCATTAAATAAGAGAAAAAGAATAAGATATATAGATGTCATGTAAGAACGAGAGTTTTATTAAGAGAAAAAAAAATACATATATAACAATTATTGAACAGGATAATTTTCAGAAATTTGTAATATTAAATTTTTCAATGGTTTGTCCCCGAAATCTTGACGCCAGACAAATTCCTCTAAATATGTTGGTAAAAGTGATCTTGCAAGTCCGTTCTGTTTTTTTTGTTTTCGTTTTATACGCATCCAGGTGTTCTCTATATTTTGTGTATGAACACCGGTTACAGGATCGACAAAACTAGCTGAATGATTGACCGTAACATGAATATAATTAGGATTATTTCTTAAACCATTATATGCCTTCCATTCATCCGAATGAATAGTAGTGCCTATAAAATCTGTCGTTGATGTTAATGTATTCAATTTTCTGAGATTTATTTTATCAATATCATCGATATTTGTGTTATTATTCATTGTTCTTATGATTTTATTATGAATTATGATTGTTGAATTTATGATAGAAATTCCGTGAAAACATCAGCTATATATACCAGTAATTGTTATTTAAGACAAATTATTTTATCTTTTTCAAAGAACCCAATTATTATTTCATTATTGATAGAAATTGCAATTTATGTGTTATCAATATGTGCCTCTTTTTTTGTTAATCTGTACTTCATTACATAAAAGAGTTATATTATTTTATTAAAAAATCATCTTAATTAATAGAGCGATATATCCTTTTTATAACATCAACAAACACTATTCTTATATGACATCTATATGTCATATTTTTTTTCCTCTTATTTAATGGTTATGCGTTAACCAATTGATTTTTTTTCTCGTTCTGTCGATATCAATGGTGTAGCTAAAGTGCAGTAGTACCGTCTAGTCGATACATACCTCACAAGGGGTTTTTCCGTTTGACCAGTCTGAACCGATTTAACATTCTAATGAGCACTAGATGATGTTAAACGTGAATGGCTCATAAGACGCAGCATAAGCGCCCGGTTCACTTATATTCTAACTGGATTTGTATCAGACTCCATGAACATTTTCAAAAACTGATTGTGTACTATAAGAATCTTGCCGAAAACTGGTTGACGGGATTGCCTTAAAGTCGTGACAGATCTCAGATTTCATAAAATTCCAGTATTGACGAGTGATGAACCCCATTGACCCACACCGATAAAAGCCCACTCTTATAAATTGCGAAAAGTCCTACGATTCTGATGAAATCTCACAGTAATGTAACTTTGCGTTTCGGTCATTAGATATAAAATAATAACAATTAAGTACCTAAGGGATGGCTATGTCAACTCTTTGATCAAAACAATAAAGTCTTGCACTGTAATGATATTCGATAGAATAATAAAGCAGAACATATTGCAATAAAATCCGAGGGAGGAACATAACACTAGGCTTCCGAATGAAACCCAATGGAACCATTATGCTTAGATTGTAAAAAATAACCGTAGCATGATAAACATTCATTTTCCGTATGTGCACAAAATTCAATATCCTGTTAGGTCTTATGCGCTTCATAAGACGTACGAAAGGTATTTTATAAGTCGCATATTCATAAATCCTTTAGGATATATCAGTAATAATGTATCATTTTAGGGCTAAGGAACCATAAACCCTTCGAAGAAGGATTTATGAATATATGCTTTTAAGGAAATCGTACAATAAAAAACTGTTTTTTCAAGGGTTTATGGCGTCTATCAACTCCGACAAGGTATATTACTACTGGTATATCCTAAATGTTTTATGAAAATGCAACCTATAGAATACCTTTCGCAGAGTTTATGAACTAAAAGAGTATATGAAAGAGCGTTTGGTTTTGTGCACATACGAAAAATGAGGGGTTATTATGCTACAATTGTTTTTTTACAGTGCATTTGTATTTGTACTTGTCTCTATGTCACCATTTACCGGGGAGTTAATTTTTAGAATGAATAAATATCGAACTGATATTTATCTACAAGTGTACCGTATTTAATACCATGGTCGCTACTCGCTTTTCTTCTATATCTTTGCAAGCACTACATCAAATATCATTAATCAACTTTATTTTAAAAAGGATTTGATGATCAGCGTAACGAAAACCTACAATGGATTAAGAAACTTGTCCTAGTAGTGCTCAAGGCGAACTTAACTATAATTACTCAGTATATTGAGGTTTCTCTAGTTTTGAATAAGAGACACTGCTTTCCACAAGAACTATTTTGCTGAGTCAGTTCTATTACAGCTCGGACAGAAGAGCTTTTCTGAGGACTAGAGGTTAGTCAAAAATTCTGTAGAGTTTTCATAGGAATTTGACATTCGAAATATCTGTTAATTTCCCCAGTCCGATATGGTCGGAGTTTTCATAGTACTTGCTTGCTGGTTTCGCTAATGATGTCGCGAGTCAGAATTTCGTCGATTGACTGAATACCATAAGGTTCTATCCGATTTGCTATTGGAGTAATGCAGCTACATGTGACTAGGCGTAAATGTCGGGAGCTCAAATTTTCGAAACTCAATTATCATGAGGACTAAATCTCAGAACTCGTTTGTCGCAGGCTTAACTGTCGGTATATTCCATCCTTTAGATTTTATTACTTGAAATCAAACAAAAAAACGGCTACTATGATCGATCCCACCACTGGCTCGTCCACACGCATTCAATGGAAGTGGGATGCAAGTGCAGATCCTTTTTCTAAGTCCCAATCACTCATATGGAAATCTTATTCTGATGTGGAAAATATGATTATTGAAGAAGCATTTCAAACAGGTCAAAAACATGCTGTATTGGATGGTTATACGATTGACTTTAAAGAAGGAATCCAAATTTCGAATAACGATCGCAGCAAACAACATCCCGTAAAACGAATTACTTGTAGCATAGATGACCATCCTGTACGCGAAGAACGTTTTACCTACACTCCTATCAGTCCTAAACAACCATTTGCTGGTAGATATGGGTGGATTTCACCTTTCATAAGAGCAACAGTAAAACATTTAAACATTACAAAAGAAAATTTACCATCAAAAGATGCAACAGTTATTCCTATGATTGTTGAAAAAGCTGCTGATGGCATAATTCAAGAGGGTAAAAAGATTGAAAAACAACGTGAAGCGGAATGGATAGCAAAAATGTTGCGAGAAAAGCAACATGCTAGTATGAAAGAAGTATGGAAATCCTGCGCTTATCTTTATTCATTGGAAGGCTTTTTGTATAAAAAAATGAATGAAACCATGCGATTGATAGGAGACAAAGACTATGAACAAGATTGGAGAGATAAAGTACCAACATTAGGTCCATTTTGTTTGCTGTTATGGGACAATCCAGCCAGTTACAAAACTACTAAACAAGGAACAATACTTTATCGAGGAGCTAAACTTTCCGATGAACTCGTTTCGATGTTCAAGGAAGATTGTAAGCAAAAGAGAAAGAATAAACCAATACGTTCGTTTCAATCATTTACTTCATGTAGTCGAGATAGTGCTGTAGCTGAGATGTACGGCAACACACTGTTTATTATGACAATCAAGCATGCTTTCAGTGTGGATCTTAAAGCATGTTCCCAATATCCTGACGAAGAAGAAGAACTAGTTTCACCTGGTGTTTGCTTTACTGTTGAACGTGTTGAATTCGATCAAGAGAAAGACAAATATGTGATATATTTAGATCTTATACAACAGTACAATCGTAAGTTAATATGTTCTTTTTACTTTAGACTTTATTTAGTTCTTTATTCATCTCCTTGACCTGATTTTTAGTCGATTTCTCTGCCAAATTTCAGAAAAATTTTCTAGATACCTAATTATTCGCACGTACCCAATATGTAGTACTACCCATCGACTTAACAAACGAAAAAAATATTGTGCGACTAAGGAAAGCCATTGATTTTGATAAATTTGAATTCTAAAGATGAGAATATTTATTTTCTCTTATGAAATTGGAACACATAGAATCTAATATCCGGTTCATCATGCCAAATTTCCTGTTCTGTTTTACTTTTAACATAAAACTTATGAAAGTGCCCACTGTTTTTTTTATTTTTCTCAATCTCTAAGGATGTAGTCTTACATGTCAGAACATTCTAAAACTCAGCTAAAAAACTCTCATAGAAAAAAATACATAGCGAAGAATAAAATCTGTTATACTCTTTACATGGAGTCTCTGTTTGACGATTTCGAGTTATTATAAAACGAAATGCCGTTTTTCGCGTGAAGATATCAATTGTGACTTTGAAGTTATAAAAACCCGTGCTTCAGAGAAGTTTAACCTTCTTGCAACTATAGGTTCTGTTGATATTTAATGAAATCAATTAATCATATATTAGAGCACATCTACATTCAGAACAACATAAGATTTACTCAATGTGAGAATTTTAATTCGCTGTCAACAAACAAAATTCGAGCTTGAAAACATCATAGCAAACACTGTCTCATTGGTTGTACTTATCGGCGTGATGTATAACATATTCTAGTACGACATGGGATTCTTCTCACTGGAATAGATTCTATGCAACCCTTTTTGCAATCAACTCTCATACAACAAATACAAGACATTCTGCGTATAGGTCGTGGGAATTTCTCAAGGGGGAACAAGCGTACTTCTGTACTTCTGTATTTCAGAAGTACAGAAGTACCAAGACGTACCAAGAAGTACCGAGAAGTACCGAGAAGTACAGAGAAGTACAGAGAATTACAGAGAAGTACAGAGAAGTACCAAGAAGTACCAAGAAGTACCGAAAAGTACCAAGAAGTACCGAGAAGTACCAAGAAGTACGAAGAAGTACCAAGAAGTACAGAGAAGTACCAAGAAGTACGAAGAAGTACGAAGAAGTACCAAGAAGTACAGAGAAGTACCAAGAAGTACGAAGAAGTACAAAGAAGTACAGAGAAGTACGAGGAAATATAGAGAATTGCTTAGAACTATTATGAAATATGTAAGTGCATGCATGTGCTTAGAAGCTCGTTTAAATTTATTTTCAAGTAAAAACACAATGTGAACAATAAATTTAAAACGATTGTTATCAGATTTGCGACTTGTTTGGATAACTTGAGAAAGTCGATCATTCGATAAACTCATACTTTTATCTGTTAACAGGCAACAAGCCGATTGTTTATGTATGTACTGGGTATCCCAAAAGTCATGATCACTTAAGATTTGCGTATAAGTCCATTATTAATCAAGCTTAGTCTAGTAATTTTTTTCATACTTGGAAGAGAAGACCAGTAAGTTTTGTTTCATAAAGATGAAGTTCATAAATACTCTTTGAAAGTAATACCTTTGACTTCATTACAAAAGTTTAGATTTTTTTTCGTTTCAAAAAAAAACATAATAGAAAGCTTTTTCTTTCTTGTATCGGTTTCTTTCTTTATTTTAATCTTTAAGGGGATCCCTTCTCAGGAAAGTCACTTTTCGTCAGAATCATTGAAATTGAGATAAATATATGGGAAGATAACCCGTCATTTGCTCTTTCATAAACGATAAAAACTTTTCTTCGGTACCTCATTTTTTCCAAAAAATTTTCAAGATTTTGACAACCCCTATTCGAAAAACCAGCGGTTTTTGGAAAAACTCAAAAATCTTTTCAGTTTTTTCTCAAAATGGTGGTCGAACGACGCATCTCCAGCGAAAGTCAACTATAATCCGATATAAAGTCAAATATTTTTTTTCGTTTGAAAGAGCATCAAAAACTGCAGTGCCTATGAGAGCCCTTTTTTTGATTAAGCTTTGCTATCCTTATATTGATAAGCAATTTTATAATATGTGCGCCATTTTTTTGAGAGGTTTTTCAGTGATCGAATTTGCCAGGCCTTTTTTCCTCTAAAACGATAAGAGTAAAAAAAAAGGCCCTCATAAGCATATCATCCTGACATGCCCTTTCAAACAAAAAAACAATCAAGCATATTGAATGAACACCCATAGAGAATTTTTGGAGATTCGATGAGCTATTTTTTGACCCTTGTTTAGTTCGTATCTCCCTTATGTATCAGGATAGGATGCTGAAAATTTTACCACAGACGTTCTTTTACAGCCCCAACATATCCTCAAAGTTTCATGGCATTTGGACGTTCCTGGGCTGAGATCGATTTTTGAGGGGCCCCTTAAATTATAGAGATCTTTTAGAGTTGTTTTTTAAACATTCGGTTTGAAATGATGCCATAGATAGAAGTCCAACAGTGTCAAGTCTAGTGATCGAGGACCTATTATATTGGGCCATTTCTCCCGATTAATCTGTCATCGATGATGAAACACTAACCCAAGACAATTGTTTAGGAATGCTTATGCTTCAGAATTCCTTTTATCTGTTTTTACAGAAGAAACGATTGAGTAGCTCCATCATTTTTCAGCAAAATAGAGCACCGGCTCATGTCTCGAAATCTGTTCGTGTCTGGCTGAACAAAATCTTTCATGGCAGGTGAATCGGGAGAAATGGTCCAATATAATAGGTCCTCGATCGCTAGACTTAACACTATTGGACTTCCATCTATGGGATCATTTCAAACCGAATGTTTAAAAAGCAACCCTAAAAGATCTCTATAATTTAAAGACTGAAATAAAGAAAGAAACCGATACAAGAAAGAAAAAGCTTTCTATTATGATTTTTTTGAAATGGAAAAAAATCTAAATTTTTGTAATGAAGTCAAAGGTATGACTTTCAAAGAGTATTTATGAACTTCCTCTTTATGAAACAAAATTTACGGATCTTTTCTTTAAAATATAAAAAAATTATTAGACTAAGCTTGATTAATAATGGGCTTATACGCAAATCAGCGCTAGTACATTTCGTCGTACGACACTTCGTCGCGTTCACTTCGTCGCAATCATTTCGTCGCACGATCACTTCGTCGCATAACATTTTGTCGCGTTCTGTTCGTCGCAGAAAAAAAAATTCTTTCGTTCTGTTCGTCACAGAAAAAATTCTTTCGTTCTGTCAGTCACAGAAAAATTTCTTTCGCTGTGCTCGTCACTATCTATTCGTCGCATCACTCTTAATTAATTTTCTTTTCAAAAATGTGAAATTGATCATTTAATTCACCTTTATTTTGTGTATTATACATAACATAATGATGAACAAATTGAGAACAAAAAAAGAAAAAAAAAAGAAAGAAAAAAACAAAAGAAAAAAAACAAAAGGAAAAAAGAAAAAAAAAGTAACCTAAAGAAAACAAAATAATTTTAAGAAAAAAATTACCTAAAGATTAATGTTGGCTGCCATATTTGTTAAGAATTGATCCAGTTGAGATGAGTCGAATGCATTGACCAGCCGAGTAATTCGTTCGTCGACTCGTCGATAGCAGGCCTTCTTCATCTTAATATCATGACCTTGGAGAATCTTCGCCATGTCCACTTCGAATTTCGATTGTTCACAACGAATTTTCTCTGCCAATTTCACGATATTTGGATGATTGATTGCGACGCGGTTCGCAAATGCATTGTGCCAGCCTTCCACCGAATTGTTCGAACGAGGTACAGCAGTGAGGACACGATCATGAACATTCCATAACTTGTGATCAAATTGAGGCTTCTTTCGACCAGTTCCTAAGAAAGTCGATTATATTTCATATTTCTTAAGAATGAAGAAAAAAAATTACCTCTTCTTTTTGGTTCACCAATCCATGTTTTTTCAAAATAATCAAGTAAATCATCGGCGTCATCATCGAAATGATTGGTAATTAAGTCAAAGCCAGTTGTAATTTGATCTACTGGAACGAAAGCAAGAGCAATTAATTTTTTTACATTCAAACGAAAGCACTCATCTTCTCTATATTTTGTTACCAATCCTTTTTCTTGAACTTGCCGCCATATCGCTTGCGAAAAATGAAAGAAACGTCCTGTAACAAACATTTTGATTACTTTTTTTTTGAGAATATTACAAAATACCTTTATGTAAAACGTTTGGCAACATCTCTCTAACAGATTTGATTGTACCATTTTTGAAATCAGTCACAATTGATTCATGTTGAAAATTGTCTTGTACTAATACTTTTTCGACGAATGGATTGTAATCTTCAGCACTTTTACCAATTAATCATCCATAGACGAGAGGGATAATAGCATTAGTCATCATCGCGTGTAACGTGAATAATTGATAATAATCATCAGGACACACCTACGTCAAAGAAAATTAGAAAAAAAAAGATATAAACTTTTAATTGATAGCTTACTTTGAATGTTCCATCAGCGAACCAATGTTTATTTTGCTTTAGAATCGATAAATTTGTTTTTGTTGTAAAGATAATTAAATTTTTGTCTTCGTGCAAGATGAAGTCTTCATCGCGATACGTCTTTCTTAATTTTTCTGGTAAACAACCATCGGCATCGACTGTTTCAACAGTACGCTGTCGTAGAATCATTAGCATAAGTGCTTCATTTTTTGGAAGTTCACTAGCAGCACTCAACGGATACGTACGCAAAGCAGAATGAATAATGGAGCTGGTTGATTCATCTGTTGTTACAGCACGAGCTTTAATTTCATTTTTTAATTCAATAGCAGGCACACGATCAGGTTGAGGAGCATGACAGTGGGCTGTTGGTTGTGAGAGAAATACTTCCATAGATAAATTGGTATGACATCGAGCTTAATAGATCAATAATTTTTGTTTTAATTGACTGATAGTAAATGTTAACTTACTTTTACAATCTCGATTCTGACAACGAAAGATCAATTTCGTCGATGTTGTACGTTCTACAGTGTAGATGTAACCTTCGTGATGAATCATTTGTTTTCCTTTTACAGAAAGAAGTTTTTCGATTTGAGACATTTTGATTAAAGAGTAGTTCGCAGTGAGAGTTCATATTGAAAAATGAAATGTACTTTTTTTTCTGGCTTCATATTTAAGAATATTATTTTATTATTTATCTTTAGCCTGGATTATGTTAAAATTGATTAACCGAGTAACAAATCTAATTATTCATCGTTCACTTTAGACCCGTTGCGATTATATATGAGTATTCGTGTTGATCCGCTTTCTCAATTAGAGTTATTATTGTTGGAATTATCATTTGTGTTTTAATTGTACATATTTCATAGAATTTTTTATTTATTTTATTCCAATTGGTTGTACAAAAAAAATTCATTAATTAAGTGAGATACAACAAGTAGAAAGGAAGAGAACGAGAGTAATTACTCTGCGACGAACAGAACGAAAGGATTCTTTTTTCTGCGACGAACAGAATGCGACAAAATGTTATGCGACGAAGTGATCGTGCGACGAAATGATTGCGACGAAGTGAACGCGACGAAGTGGCGTGCGACGAAGTGAACGGTCACCCGCAAATCTTAAGTGATCATGACTTTTGGGACACCCAGTATATGATTTCATATTATTCATGAATTTGAAGTGTTATGTAAGCATAACTAATAAAAATTGAAGCGATAACAACAGCATTCATATAAAGTAGCAATGATACAAATATAGAGATTAGTGTCGAGGTAGACGAAACTACTAAGAAGTACGAAGGAGTACGAAGAAGTACGAAGGAGTACGAAGAAGTGCGAAGAAGTACGAAGAAGTACGAAGAAGTACGAAGAAGTACAGAGAAGTACAGAGAAGTATCAAGAAGTACGAAGAAGTACGAAGAAGTATGAAGAAGTACAGAGAAGTACCAAGAAGTACGAAAGAAGTACAGAGAAGTACCGAGAAGTATGAAGAAGTACGTGGAAGTACAGAAGTACGCTTGTTCCCCCTTGCATTTTCCTCTTCTGTCTATTTTCATTTCAACTTATCTCTCTTCAACAGTTTTCTTTTCTATATTTTCCTCTTTCTACGTTTTCCTTTTCTATGTTTTCCAGCAAGACCGACACATCATTCGATTCATTCTTCTTTCTATCTTTCTGTCCTCCTCCTATAATATTTTTCTCCCGGGTATCGTTCATATAGCTTGTAACGATTCGGTGAAATGTATTCTATTATTGTGTCCTTATACTTTTGTTCTCATTTTCTATACCCTATGTTTTGTCCATATCTTCCATTATTATCCTTTCTTTCCTTTCTTTTCTCTTATGTACGAGTATATAAACGCGTGTTTTGCATGGAAACGATGCGATTCTAGATAGAAAGAAATATAATAAAGATGGATTCTATCAGGATTGATGCTTCTTCTATCAAAAATTGTCACATACCTGTCTGAAATATTCTGTTCATATGTTTTTCAATCCATTTTTTTCTCGAGATGTATGCCGGCATCGGACTGATTGAGTAAATACCAAAGTAACGCTCGTATCGATGACTGGCTCGACCCTCGACTGAATCAGATCTTTAACAACATCTACTTCTTCTCGTTGAATTCTATCCTAAGAAGTATCCATGGAGAAACACGCATATATAAAAGTACATAAGTAAGATGTCATCGAAGATCCTTTCGTAACGGTTCCTTTTCATCTTCCGTGCGAATTCTGTGACATGCAGCGTAAAAAACAGCTCGCAGTTGGTCGTCGGCGTCCATACGGTTTGCCACTCCCGCTTGGCTCCATCTTCAAGTAGTGTACCGAGACAGTAATATCTTATCCTGAAAAGGACTTTAGCACTTGAGGATCTATACGTACTGCTATAATATAGTACTTGACGACCTATGCGTACTGCTATAATATAGGACTTGAGAATCTTTCGGTACCATCAGAATATAGGACTTGGGACCTAGGACTGACCCCACAGTATAGCACTTGAGAACCTATAGGTATCACCATAATATAGGACTTGAGGACCGATAGGTACCACTATAGTATAAGACTTGGGCACCTAGGACTGCCCCCACAGTATAATACTTGAGGATCTATGGGTACCTTCATATGATAGGACTTGAGGACCTATGGGTACCTTCACAGGTTAGAAATGAAGACCGGTGCAAACACCTGTAGGTGTGTCTTCGGTGGTCAGGGCTAGCCTCTGAATGGTCATTTATGTTTTTTTGACCTTTGGCCCTTGCATAAACATACATGAAAGCCATTTAATTAATTTTTTGGTATTATGCTTCGTGCAGTCGAAGTGCTGAGGAATAATGGAAGAGTTCCATCTGCACAAGTTTGACTAAGGAAGTATCGCGTCCCTTCTGAGTAATAGCAGAGAAAATCCATGTTGAAATCTGATTGGCTAGGACAGACAAACATAGATACATTTTACAAATGTAAGACCCTTTCTTTCAGAAAAGGAAGACACAATACCATTCATTGTATTTCCATAAGAACCGTAACCGAAGGTATACGCAAAACATCATAGATCTAACGAGATTCTGTCACTTAAGAGACCTATGGTGATAGTCAGGTAACGGTCACCCTCACATTCGAACGTTTGAAATTACAAAAGTAAAAGCATACTGTCTCTGCAATTGAAAGTACACTATTGACGGGTTAACAAACATGTTGCAAGCTGTGAGATACCTTAGTTATGAGTGATATAATCCTCATTTTTCTTTCATCATATATATAAAAAATAAATTTATTGACTAATTTCATAATAAAGTATGATTTTGAATCTTGTTAAATTACATTTTTTGTCTGAATGATGATCAGCAATTTTAATGTGCATTTGCTGTGAGAATAAAACTTGATTACTTGAACGATAGAACTATCTTCGTACTACTCGTAAATTAGAAAAAAGATATATTTTTATCATAGTGATTTAAAAATTTCAGCTCCTCACAATCTTCGACTTTGAAACGTGAAATTCCGTAACGAACAGTATCTTTAGTTTTTTTATTCTATGCAGTTATAGTTGTTAGCAAAAAACGTGATATTCTGATAGCTTGTGGAGAACTGAACAACTTGTACGTAAAATGGTTATTTATATATCACTTCGATTCATAGTAAAATGCTTAACTCTCACATCACTCTCAAAAAAGATTCCATTTTTTGAAATTCCGTAACGGTCACTAGTTTTGGAATAATTTAGCTCTGGCTAAGGAAAAACCAATAAAATTTTTACTAGTAGTAGAACTTAATAATCTCTGTCTATGATAAAAATTTCAAAGAGTTAGCTTTTACTACTGAGGAGATGTAGGTATTACAATGTAAAAAAATGAAATTCCGTAACATTTGGCCATATCCCTATATATTCATTTCTCATCATTTATAACCACATACCAAACATATCTTTTGTTGGACACAGATTCACCCAACAAGTAACATCCTTTTTCACTCTACGCCTTAACGACTTATGCCAGAGAAATTATTCTCATCCATAAGCCTCATTCAGTCTATCTCTTATTTTAGAAATCGATCATGAACAAATATCTGAGTGTCTTATTCGTCATTCTGACCCTATTGATCCTGATTCTGATTCTGATGCTTATTATGCTGATGCTCGTCTTCGTGATCTTCGTCGTGATCGTTGTGATCGTTATCCTGGTTATGCTCGTCGTTATCGTTATCGTGGTTATGCTCGTCGTTATCGTTATCGTGGTTATGCTCGTCGTTATCATCATCGTGGCTATGCTCGCCGTCCTCATGCTCGTAATGATGATCGTCGTCATCGTGCTCGTAATGATGATCGGCGTGATGGTGGTGAACATGACTGGTACTAATGGTTGAATTTTGGACTACGTGTAAATACTGCGAGGATGTGAGGGTGTTGGCGGGGTGAGAACAGCTACCGTTATCTAGGTTTCACTCCAGCTACGGAGATCATCAGACGGCAACTAGGGTGTGGGTGGGTGTGGGTGTGGGGTGTGGGTGTGGGTGTGAGTGGGTGTGGGTGTGGGTGTGGGTACGTGTGGGTGTGGATGTGGGTGGGTGTGGGTGTGTGTGGGTGTGGTTGTGGGTGTCGGTTGGAATGTACTGTCGATACACCCATACACCCACACCCACACC